TGAAGTGTTTGTTAAAATTTCAAAGTACTACTTTGTTTGCCAATCAGCATGTGACGCTGTTTAAACTATTGAACGAAATTGTGTGGACTGCCGATAAGGCGGGCAAATTCATTTTAAATATAAATTATAAGTTAAAAAATAACATAAGAGACAGAGAAAACATAAATATAAGTATTGAACTATTTTTGTATGGTATTTATGATCTATTTGAATGACACAGCATTATGTTGTTTGCTTGAAAAGCTGTGTCATTCAAATAGATCATAAATACTGTAACGAAGTGGGTAATTCTCGCCATTGTTGGTGAAGTTTGTTACATGTAATTCACTGTTACTACCTATGGGAGACAGTTTGTTATTGTTTATATGTTGATCAGCTGATCACTATTATTATATGTAAACTGTTCCAATATGATTGTTATGTCATTTAACAAGTCTTGTATATATCAGTTATTGTTTAAGGACATGCAGGGTTGTTTATGGTCCCGTGGATGTATAATAATTCGTGTGGGAATGCAGTAAGTTTCTTCCGCATGATTTACAGTTGGACTAACCCTGTGTTGAAGACGTAACTTCAGAGAGTTTTTATACATATTTATAACAGCCGAAGGTGTAAAGACTGCATTTCCCCTGGATTATTGTCACCCAGTTAACATAAACACAGTGTAAATTTATGTACTTACGATTTATTTCAGCTATAATAGATGTTTTCTGTCACCTAATTTGAACAGTTGCTATCTTCAACTATGGCGGTGAAGGTCGTTCGGTGTTTGAGTCGTATAGTAAATTTAGAGTCAAACCCGGCATAACCGGATTCTAAGTAGATTCCAGATCGCATTTAATGTTCAAATATCATAATTGTATTTGTTAATAACTTGTATGTTAGCTAATGTGTATTCTTCTTAGGAACTATTTGAAAATGGTTGTTGAGTTCGGAAGAACATGTAGGTAACTTGGTTACGTTGGCAACTTCCGGTTGCCTCGGATTGCCAAATGACAGCCAGCGGCTGTCACTGGGCTGTCACTGACAGCCGTTGGGTATAAATAGCGCGTTTCTTGCGCATTAGCTTCAGTAGCCTTTCGACCGGCATCGGGTTCTCCCTGTTCTATACAACTTTAACCTTTTCTAGTGTTTAACGTTATTATTAACATTTCTTCAGGCACATCAACTACTTTGGTCTTCTCCAGTACTGTCAGCAGTAAATGTAAGTGAATATTGAGAGATCATTCACTTGGGATATTTCCTGGTGTTATCACCAGTGTCTTTTAGGCAAGAAGTGACTAATCTAATAGTTAACATTGTATTGACATTCTTTTCTGTGGTCAACGTTTGATAGCCAGAGTTTAGCACACATTCCTTTAATAGTCTAATATTACTTATTCAGTGGCTTATGATAACGTAATAGTTTATCTTCCTGATTAGGATTGTTGTTGTCCTGTGTTATCTTTACAGACAATATTACTTAGAACCAATTCACTGTAGCAGTTTGCTAAGTTTACTTATTGTAAAAGCAGACCCCTATACTTTAGTTTAATAGAGCGCTAGATTATTTAGTGTTCATTTCCAATACTATATAGTTAATCTGTTTACTTGTTACAATTGCATTACTCTTATTATTGAGGGTGGACTGAGACTTAAATTATTTCGTAATTTATTGGTTAATTTGGGAAAGATATATTAGCGTGTAATTGCGTGCAAGAGAAAGCTTGAGATTGCTATATTTGAATAATTTGTATTGTAAATAATTATTCTGTTTCTTACAAAATAATACTATTTATACTTGTGAAACTGGTCTTTGTCATTTATTTCTACTAAGTAATAGTCGGAGTAAACGCAGTCAAATTAATTAGTAGAAATAAATGACAAAGACCAGTTTCACAAGTATAAATAGTATTATTTTGTAAGAAACAGAATAATTATTTACAATACAAATTGTCAGTAATAGTCGGAGTAAACGCAGTCAAATTAATGACACTGAGAAGATCCCTCTAGAAGAATTCCTGAGCTTGCCCGGAGTGACATTTTGTATGTGGCAGATTTCAAGTAGTCTGTGACTACTATTTCGCTATACTGGCGAAGCGGACCTCGATAACCGTAAGCGGAAATCATTACAATACCATACAAAAACAGTTCAATGCTTAAATGTAATCCATTTATCTAGGTATATCAATCTGAAGTCCGGGATTCGAATCCCGGTCACTGAAATTTCACACTTAAAAAACGCTATTATTGATTAAATTTTGTTAATATTACCTTTCTTATTTATCATAAAAGTCCCGTAAGGTTTTCAGAAATGACTTATCAAAACTATAGTTGTGTCGGAAAAAAAGTGTCCAACACTAACTTACAATTTTTTGCAGTGGTACGAGGATCCTTAATTGTTGAGTTCAAGTTTTGAACAAATTGATATGGCCTACTGGATTCATTTATTCAATGCCTCACTTTTTGTTATTATTATCATTATTATATACAGTGTTTATATTTATTCTTATTAAGGATTCGAACCCCAGACTTCAGATTGTTATACAATGTAACACATTTTTCTAAATGAAAATTGCATGACGACGGCGACGGACCAAATTAACCGTTCACCAACTGATTTATAGAGAGCAATGTCGGCTAGTTGGTTCACTGCTCTTTCAGTCAAAGAAGGCTTATTATTCGGAAAAAATCGAAGAATGTGGCAAGGATAAAAGACAACTTTTCAGACTCACCAAAAACCTAATGGGACAGAAAGGTGAAATTATCCTACCAAGCTGTAATTCTGAAAAAGACTTGGCAAGCAAGTTCAGTGATTACTTCTGAATAAAATCAGCGTAATCAGGAAAAATATTACCGAAGTGAACACCTCTGCTGACATTGACATCTCTGTCATGACTGCTGACATTGCATTTGATGGTGAACCATTGACAAAGCTCTCATCAACAACCCAGGACGAGTTGCGCAACATTATCATGACCTCGCAATCGAAGTCCTATGAGCTTGATTCACTGCCTGCAGACCTATTACAGCAATGTCTTGAAGCACTGCTTCCTTTGATTACCGCAATCATGAACAAATCATTGGTTGAGTCAAATGTTCCATTATGTTTCAAGAAGGCACATGTCAGACCATTGTTAAAAAAAGCCTGGAATGGACAAGGAGGAGTAAAAAAAACACCGCCCAGTTTCAAATCTGACATTTCTTTCTAAGATCTTGGAGAAGGTTGTGTCCCAGCGTTTAGAGGTTCATCTCCATGCAAACAGTCTCCATGACAACATGCAATCAGCCTACCGCATGGGACACTCTACTGAGACGGCCCTCGCACGTGTACATAGTGATATAGCTTCTGCATTGGATAACAAGTGCAGAGCGGTGCTTGTCATGCTGGACTTGTCAGCTGCATTTGACGTCATCGACCATGGCATACTTTATAAACGCCTGGAGTACTCTTATGGAGTGACTGATACCGCACTATGCTGGATACAGTCATACCTGAGAGAACGACGACAGTGTGTTGCCATCGGATCTGCCACCTCACATGACAAAATACTAAATTTCGGGGTTCCTCAAGGGTCGGTGTTAGGACCACGAACATATTGTATGTACTCCAAACCGATTGGAGAGATTTGTCGTCGCCATAGCCTTCGCTATCATTGCTATGCCGATGACAAACACATTTAAATGGTCATAAAACCACAGGACAGTTGGAATACAGACTCAGAAAGTCTGGAAGCTTGTCTGACAGATATCAGTATCTGGATGAACGCCAACATGCTTAAACTTAATCAGGAAAGGACGGAACTAATCGTCTTTTCCCCAAAGTGTCAGCAAACAATGGCTCTCCAGCTCAAGGTTGGTGCCAGAACTATTAAGACTGTTCCAGCTGTAAAAAAACCTAGGGGTATACTTTGACAGTTCTCTGAACATGGAGAAACAAGTGCACGCTATTGCCAAATCCTGTTACTACCAGATCAGGAACATCGGCTGTATTCGGCAGTTTCTAACTGCAGATGCATGCAAGATTTTGATGCATTCACTTGTAACCTCTAGATTGGATTATGGTAACGCCCTGCTCTGTGGTATATCTGACAAACTAACTAGTCGTCTGCAGAGGGTTCAGAACACTGCAGCACGGCTAGTTACTCGTACTCGAAAGAGAGAGGACATCACACCTGCGCTTTTTCGTTGCACTGGTTACCTGTACGATACATGTCGCAGTACAAAATTCTGGTATACACATACAAGGCACTGAATGGAACAGCTCCTCAGTACCTACAGGAGCTTGTTAACCTGTATGAGTCGCCAAGATCACTGCGGTCGGAGTCAGAATCTTTGTTGTGTGTCCCAAAATCTCGTACTGTGACCTACGGAAACAGATGCTTTGGTAGGGTTTCGGCTACGTTGTGGAATAGCTTACCATCTGCTATTAGGAAGTCAAATACCCTGGCCAAGTTCAAGAGGGACATAAAAACTCACCTCTTCACGTCTACATTTTAGAATCTTTGCAAAGACGTCATGTAAATACCACCCTTTTATTTGCTCAATTATGTGCACATTGCTTGTTAAATGTATGAAAGTGATTGCAAGCCTTTGTTGTTTGTTTTCACAATTATAACCATTACTATTATCCATATGTTGTAAAGCGCCTTAGAGTAATTTTACAAATTATATAGGGCGCTATATAAATGTTGTATATTATAATTATTATTATTATTATGAGGGAGTCTATTTTTTATAAAAAAAATATACCTCCTCTGACACATACTTGAAAAATGTATTCATTATGGTTTTATAACCTTTTGATCTACCCATGCACAAAATTTCTAGGATTTAGCTTACTTATGATGATAAGTTGAATATTTTTCAATGCCTTATTTTTCTGATATTGGATGTTTATATTTGTTTAAATTTTCTATTCAAGTTGTTATACGGTTCACTAACTGAAGCAAGCTGTATTTTTTTAAATTTCAGATTGAATCCTGAAAATAACGGCGATGGATTCTACAGAGAATGAGCGGATGTCTATTGCCCTGTCAACACACCTAGACAGGGAGATTACAGGGACACAGGAAGAGGTGGATATCAGGAGGAGATTAGAGGTTCTAAATGAACGTATAGAAAATGACTCTTATTTGAATTACCACCTCTTCCATGGAGGAAGTCGTGGAGAGGGATTGCATCTAAGTGGATCAGATTGGGACATGATGGTAATAGCAAAGTATGTAACAGTAATGTACCCTGGCCAGTTTATCCCTCCAAGTATGGCAAACAATACAATTCTGTACATGAGAGATGCAGATTGCCGAACTGGATATGTCCACTTACAACTAGGTCAGATAGGACAGGAATGTCCGATTGAATTGCATGATTCACTTGTTAGAATTAAGGATTTATTTTTTGTTTCCAGTGATATCTATAGAGAGTCATGTGTCCAAGGATTGGATAGCCGTTCATGTACAGCATGGAAATCCAATGGACCCAGCTGTTCGATAGATGAACAAATGATAAGAGCAGATGTTGTTCACAGCTTTCAATGCAACTGTTGGCCAAAGGAAGCTAATGGATGGATAACCCGTACACGTCTGTATGGATGGCCACATCAAACATTAATTGAAAATATCATACACAGTGGATGTCATCTTGTCCCTGTTGGGGACAAGTGTTCTGAAGATACTTTCTTGCAATGGAGAATCTCATTTGCAACAGCAGAGAGATCTTTAGTTCACTCGTTCAGTCACATTCAGCTGAAAGTATATGCTTTGCTGAAATGTCTCTTAAAACAAATAAAAGACATGTTAAAAGAAACTATAGGGGATGACGATATTTTGTGTTCCTATTTTTTGAAAACTATCCTTTTTTATGCAATAGAGAACTCCAGCCAACTGTTCTGGCAAGAAAAACACTTATTTTATTGTTTCTGGTTTTGTTTCAACATACTGATTGCTTGGGTCAGGGCGGGAGTCTGTCCTAATTATTTCATCCCAGCCAATAACATGTTCCGAAGGAAAGTCCATGGACAACATCAACAAATACTATTGGACATTTTGAAAAACTTTTGTCAGCTGAAATGGATGTGCCTTTCGGTTACTAACATTTTTAATCCTTCAATATTGGAAACTCGTGTATGTCCCCGAACCGAGCAGGAAATGATCTTCTGGCAGGATATACAAACTGTCGCAGCGATAAAAGGAATATCTATCAAACCAAGAGCTGAACCACTAAGGATCATAAGGAAGGCGATTCATTTATTATCAAAATCACAGTCAGATTTTGATGAAGTTTTCACATACCAGTATTCTATGTTTTGCTTACAAAGACTTGCAGCAGAACAGGTCTCTCAAGATCGCTATGCTATGGACAACAAAACCCGGTACAAAAGTTTAGGGAAATGTAAAAACTGGATGATCCATGGGGTTTCAATGGGCACAGAGCTGTTACGTCTAGCAACTTTTCATTTTTTGTTAGGAAATTTCATTAAAAGCCTTGAGATGTGCAAACAAGTCATGAAACTGGCATCATGTTTCATAGGTTCCCTGGGCGGTACAGAAGAGATAGAAGAACTATTTAGGCACAATTATAGTCAATCAGAACATACAGCAGAGAGACTGCAGAAAATATACACAAACTTCATTACCTTTACTTATGAAGACTTGTATCTTCCCCACCTCTGCCTAGAAATGGCGAATGAATGCGAACTCCTACATATCCCTCCACTACCGTTTGCTATTTTCCTGTCATTCCTGTGCTGTCATGAACTTAAAGATACCAGAGGACGTGATGCAGCATTACGTAACATGGTAGATGTCCAGTATGATGAGCAGCAAGGAGGACACAAGCACTGGATAGTTAACAATCTCCTGGGTATCTGTTACGAAATTATCGGGGACTCTCGAATGGCCATCAGAGCTTACTGGAATTCAGCTCAAAGAAATATGAATTTTATTTTTTACTGCACGAATCCTGCTATTCAGAGGATAGCTGTTGTGTATCTATGTATGTATGCCTCACAGAAATTCAACAGAGGATAAATGAGATGTTTGACTCCAGAGGACTAACAGCGGATTATAATAAGCTGTGTGGTATATATGTGTATTCCTAACAGAGGATAGCTGTGTTTAAATATATATATGTGTGTATTCCTAACAGGGGAGAGCTGTGTGGTATATATGGGTATTCCTAACAGAGTATAGCTGTGTGGTATATATGTGTCTTCCTAACAGAGGATATCTGTGTGGTATATATGTGTATTCGTAACAGAGGATAGCTGTGTGGTATGTATGTGTATTCCTAACAGAGGATAGCTGTGTGGTATATATGTGTATTCCTAACAGAGGATAGCTGTGTTTAAATATATATATGTGTGTATTCCTAACAGAGGATAGCTGTGTGGTATATATGTGTCTTCCTAACAGAGGATATCTGTGTGGTATATATGTGTATTCCTAAAAAAGGATAGCTGTGTGGTATATATGTATTTTTAACTAACAGAGGATAGCTGTGTGGTATATATTCGTATTACTAACAGAGGATAGCTGTGTGGTATCTATGCGTATTCCTAACAGAGGATAGCTGTGCGGTATATATGTGTTTTCATAACAGAGGATAGCTGTGTGGTATATATTTGTATTCCTAACAGAGGATAGCTGTGTTTAAATATATATATGTGTGTATTCCTAACAGAGGGTAGCTGTGTGGTATATATGGGTATTCCTAACAGAGGATAGTTGTGTGGTATATATGTGTATTCCTAACACAGGATAGCTGTGTGGTATATATGTGTAGTCCTAACAGAGGATAGCTGTGTGGTATATTTGTGTATTCCTAACAGAGGATAGCTGTGTGTTATATAAGTGTATTCCTAACAGAGGATGGCTGTGTTGTAAATGTGTATTCCTAACAGAGGATAGCTGTGTTTAAATATATATTTGTGTGTATTCCTAACAGAGGATAGCTGTGTGGGATATATGCGTATTACTAACAGAGGATAGCTGTGTGGTATATATGGGCATTCCTAACAGAGGATAGCTGTGTGGTATATTTGTGTATTCCTAACAGAGGATAGCTGTGTGGGATATATGCGTATTACTAACAGAGGATAGCTGTGTGGTATCTATGCGTATTCCTAACAGAGGATAGCTGTGCGGTATATATGTGTATTCATAACAGAGGATAGCTGTGTGGTATATATTTGTATTCCTAACAGAGTATAGCTGTGTGGTATATATGTGTATTCCTGACAGAGGATAGCTGTGTGGTATATATGTGTATTCATAACAGAGGATAGCTGTGTGGTATATATGGGCATTCCTAACAGAGGATAGCTGTGTGGTATATATGCGTATTGCTAACAGAGGATAGCTGTGTGGTATATATGCGTATTGCTAACAGAGGATAGCTGTGTGGTATATATGTGTATTCCTAACAGAGGATAGTTGTGTGGTATATATGTGTATTCCTAACAGCGGATAGCTGTGTGGTATATATGTGTTTTCCTAACAGAGGATGGCTGTGTGGTATATATGTGTATTCCTAAGAGAGGATAGCTGTGGTTTATATATATATATATATATATGTATGCCTAACAGAGGATGTCTGTGCGGTATATATATCTATATGTGTATTGTTATATTAACCTCCGTATGACATTACTATTATATAACCCTATCATATTAAAATGGCTTTCCTATAGGATATGAATGCCATGAATGTGGAATGTTGTCATCGTGATCATTATTATGACGTCATAATTGTTACGTTAGATATTACTGAAATCAATGAACAATCACACACATTTGTATTATAAATACAACATTTGGTCTAAATGCTGAAAGGTTATGAGCATGTTGAATATTCTTCGAGATATACATATTCCAAAAAAAGGTAAATTTAAGCACAGAACTGATTTAGGTTGGCATTTATAGGCAATATAATGCCAACTGGAAAAGGTCTTATCCAATATGAAACGCTATTGAATATGACAAATTTGTCAAGAAAGCATTTATATTGCCTAACGGTTCAATGCTTAAATGTAGGTCTCGCAGAGGTCTGACTGAGGATAGCTGTCGTGTATGTATGTATGTATGTATGTATGTATGTATGTATATCATATCTGAAAATATATAAAAAATGAAACGGATCAGATAAGAAATGCTTAAATGAATACACTGTTCAAGAGTAAACGTTAAAACCATCCTATAGTTAATAAATAACAATCTCTAAGCACAATACCTTGTTCATCTGAACATATAAAACATATGGAATATGTAAATCTGAACTGACAAAAGGTGCTCGGAATTTCCTGCCTAACGCCTCGTTTTATAATTTTAATAATCATATTCTGTTTTATTTCAATATTCTGTTTTATTTCAGACATTTTTAATGTATTTATTTAGTAATTTGGTAAAACTAAAAACTGATCATTTGAACACGCATAAATATGTTTGTAAACTTATATATTTCGTAAACTGTCAATTTTGGTTTGTTTGCGATTGACTGCCATTCTTTGACGTAGTTCATTTCCAGTTTGACCTATGTAAAATTCAGAGCATCTCTTACAAATTACAGCATATATTTACACTTGTTTTATTTGCAGTTCATCTTACATCTTATATCATTTTTTTTCGTGCTTTTCTTTTATGATATATTTAAAACATCTGTTACGGGCGCTAGCTCCTTATATTATAGCAAAGTGCAAATCATCTAACAGAACATTTTAGATGAAGACCGAGTTAAAATCCGGCTATATTGTTATGATAATTCAACAAGACATATGTTCAATTAGGCCTAGTGTTCTTTATAGTACAATGAATCAACATTGTGTTTAGTTCAATAGTATCATGGGTTAATATTAGTAGTTGTTAACAAATACAGAAATCATGTCTACAAAATAAGATGTATACTAATCTTACGATTTGTTTATTGTAAAATTAATAAAGTTTATACATGATAACAATTCATTGGACTTAAAAACTGATTATTAGGTTGTCGGTTAGCGCAGTGGATAGCGCACTTGCCTTTAACCTAGGCGACAGGGGCTCGATTCCCCAATCGGACGTGAAAAGGTATAGGGTCACCTGCCTGACCATGTGGGTTTCCCCTAGGTACTCCGGTTTCCTCCCACATTAAGACCCCTGCATGCTAACATCTGCGCCAACAAGATTGATAAATATAAGTTGTACAAACTTTTTTCATAATTGTCGTAAAATAAATAAAATGTATTTATTATTTATCAATCCATTGGACTCTCTAGTTCTTGGAGTTGACTTTATGAGAATAAAGTATATGCAATATATATTATATGTTTTTTTTGTTTGTGATTTAAAAGTAATGTTATATGTGTATAATGTCTCGCGGGTGATTATTGGCTGCAACTTTAATTCGTTAAGGTAGAACGTCTCACAACTTTGTCTACTTTATATAAAGCTTTAAAAAATAAGTTATGTTATTTTTCTCTATGTGAATACAAAGTCAGTTATCGGCTGAAGACCATTTCATGGAGAAACAACATTTTGATGTTATCCCAAGTAATGATACAGAAAAATATTAACAACAATTATCAAGACCGATACTGCAGAAGTGGTTCATTTCTACGTTTCATAATAAAAAAAAGGGTCAGAGTGTGACTGAAACCTCAGAAGAGTACATCATGGTCATTTAAGGATGTTCAAGGTTTTGGTTTCTGGAGGATAGCCGGAGTACCCGGAAAAAAACTACTGACTTTCAGTGAGTACCTGCCGTTTGGAAGATTGAGGAAACATTTTCCATAAACGGAAGGACGGACAACCCCATACCATAATACTTTGACGGGCGTATTAAACTGAACTACATTGAATATAACAGCTGTTTCATTCTTCTAGAGCTGATCGGTGATGCTAGGGGCCCAAAATGTTAGAAATCCAAATCGGTCTAAACAACTGTTGAAACAGAAGGGAGTTGCAAAACCCCTTAACTATATGAATTTCGAAATTTAAAGAAGTACTGGCTGATTTCAAATTGCATGATCATGAGGAAAGTAATATATAGGATAATCATGAAAATTACACAGATAACTCTACAACGTGCAGAGATCTAAGATGGCCACTGTTTCGTATCCTCCTCAAAATAAACCTTGAGTATGAAATCAATATTTGATTATTTGCAGGAAATTTCATCAAGATCAAAGCAATGACGCCGACGGAAAATATCCCTTAGGTCGACTTCAGTTTATAGACGACAATCGCGCACAAACAAATCTTTCTACACTTGAAGCTTCATGGTTTCGTGAATCGACTCAAGAATGTGTATTAGGAGATTTGTCATCTTTACAAATATTAAATATTATTTAGGAAACATAAGGACACAATGGCTGGCTGAAGTAATAGTTAGTTTGTGCATCGAAGTCGATGTTTGTAATATAGAAGTGTATTGATATAGAGTATTTCTGCCCATATCTGTCAGGTGACCAATTGTGTCCTGTTACCGGATATCACATTAATGACTGGACGAAAATTATTACAATAATCAAACTGTGAACGGGATAATTTCAAATATTTCCTTGTTTTGGATATTCCAGAGAGTCAAGTTTAGTAGGTTTGAATCATACGAGAAGAGCTTACTTCCATCACAAGTAGTTTGTATTTGTCATACAAGGAAACAGATCTGCGGATTTGATAAAAATAAAGTTTATCTATTGATTTTATACATATTGAATCATCTAGTTTTTCTCCTACGTATTGTTATTATATGATTTTTATGAACGGGAGTGGTTCTCATTGTTGAAATGTCTAAGCCGAACAATCTATTTTAAACATAAATGAAACATTTAGTTTCCCCTCCCCCAAAACACTTGCATTGTATCATTTATTAATGCAAGGGTGACATCAATATTGCCAAGACTAAGCTGCCCAGTTGAAATGTCGAAAAAAATGTTGATATTCAGAATTAATGAATATTTTTCAATATCAAACAGAAATACTTTTCAAAATGGTGAAATGTTTGGACACGAATTTGGCCTGAAAACTATGAAGCCATAATTGACAAAAAATTCACT